CTTGTTATTTCGAGGAGGGTAGCGTTTGGTAATTTATAATTGTAATTATTATGGACAAGGGATTAAATCAGCTACTAAGCCATGGTTTCTTGGGGGTGTTTTCAATCTTGCGCGGATTGGACTGGATTGGACTTATGGTTTTTTCCCCCTTTTTTTCTCCTCTTATTATATTCCTACTATATCCCCAATTACAGTAGTTGATCCTACCCGAAATGGCTCAAACTTCAAGCGACACTGGTCTTCACCACCAGATCCGTTGTTCCCAGGCCAGTGATGTTCGCTCCATCTTCATACGCTCTGCGCAAACCTTAATGTTGTTCAACTGGGCCGAGGGGGACTGGGCCCCATTGACCCATTGACAATTCACACTCATGTGGTAAATTTTAGAATAAACCTGCCATTTGGGGATGGTGTTTAGCACCCATTTATGGTAATATTAAGGGTTGTTGGGTTGTTAAATTATAGCTTTAGTGCCAATATCAATGAATTGATGGGGTATGTTGGGACTGAATATATTCGGATTTATTGGGGTGTATAATGTTGGGGTCGTCGGTGTCAATAATTCAAACCCTGCCCATTGGACCTAATGGAAACGAGATACACTAGCCCTGGGCCCATACTGGGCCCACACACAACTACAACAAAAAAATGTCTAAACACATATTATGTTGGGTTATTATGGGTAATTAATATTTGTCTGTCCAATACCACCCTTCATCCCAGGAAAGCAAACAAAAAATCACAAAATCCTCTGCGAAGACTAGCTGACTGTCATCATACGCACCCGCCTTCATCAGGATCAGGATAGCAATTTCAACCTCACTTTCAAATCCCGCAATGGCTTCGCGGATACGCACTTCGTCACGCTGATCGGAGCACGTGGCATCTGCCAGGCTTGTGAAATCCAAATTGGTGGCTTGCCGTTCCAACTCCCTGTCTTCCAATAACTCTTCATTGAGCTGCGTAACGCGCAAGATATTGAAGAGCCACGTCCCAAACAAAATGAAATAGTGATCGAAATTGGAAGGTGTGAAATGAGGGCCCGGCAGCATCGTCCACGGAAAAGCTACCAGTGTCAGTATGCACATCAGCACCACATGGATCGCACGCAAAATATTCATATTTTGGTGAATGCAACGATGTGGACACTTACCTTTGAACAACTTGAAGGTTGGTGATATTCCGAAGCAAAGGATGGTGGTCAGAAACGCCATAAGGAATAGTCCGTCCGCCATCATTTTCAAATGCAAGTCTTCAAGAGGAATCAAAACCAACGCAAGACCTTGCAGTCTGGTTTGAACAAAATGAGTTTCGCCAGTTTCGGCCCTGATGTAATGAAAACCGAACACAGGGAAACAAAAAAAATTACCATTTTGCATCCGTGCCTGAGACAAGGCCAATGACTATGGGGAGAAGAACGGTCAGAAATAAAATCCTGCATTGTGCAGTTGTTTTCCTCAGGCATTGCCGACACAAACAAACACAAATGAAACAAAATTGGTTTAGTCGAAATACCTGGCAAATCTTAAAAAACGGTTTGTTGGGTCATGCAAAAGGTTCATGCAAAAGGTTGACCGAAGGAACATGGAAATAGAATCACGCTGGCCGCTGGACCATAAATTTTAAACATATTTAAATTATTTAAACATTAACACTAAGTGCTAGCATGTCTATGGCCAAACCTCAATGCCATTATCCAAACCCAATAGACCAAGACTCGGCCGTGCTGGCATGATACACGTCTTCTTGTATTGGGTTCCAAGGTAAGCTTCGTACACACACCACAGCCGCGTGTAAATTCCCACCTGGCCAACGTTGGCAACAAGGAACGCCAAAAAACACACCAAATAAAACAATAGGAACAAAATTCCTGCTTGCTGAAACGTTGAAAAAAACAGCTGTCTTGGGCAACAGCGAACAACCATGGCAATGTGTGGAAATCAATTTTGCATGGCAGGTGTGGAAGGTAAATCGCCACCCTCGTGTCCACGTGTTTGCCCTAAAACGCTTCAAAGATGCCTAATTCTCCAATTTTAAGAAAAACTGAAATGATGCTACCGGGGCACGCCGCAGCTCTATGCAAAATCATGCTACGGCTCAAAGGCATACACGTGCACAGGCACAAGCCCAACATGCCAACAGTCCCGCATGGCCCTCTCTCTCTCTCTCTCTCTCGCTCTCTCTTTTCTTGCGCTCTCTCCGTCGCCATCTCAGAGAATTCAACAGATGCGCATCATGTCCTACCATGTCCTACCATTGCATCGCCCCACAGCACAAGCGCGCCGTTGCAATAAAGAGGCTTGGCATTTCCCAAGTTCCCTCGCGGGCAAGAAGCACATTTGCCAGCTAGTCAAGGTATGCAGCACCGCATTTTTACATGCAGACTGCCTCCCGGCGGGTTTTGATGTGGGTTTCTTGATATTTCTTGATCTGTTTGACCGCAATCTGCACACGCGCAGATTTCAGCACATTCTTATATGGGCTTTCAGGCGCCAACTTGCCAACCCACGGCGTTCTTCGATGCAGCTTGGAATAGCTTGGAAATCGAAGTTTTCAGCCGCGGCGCAACCAGAGTCTTTCGATCGGATTTATGGATCTGGCATCCGCTGGCATCCGATCTGGCGATTGGCAGAACTTGTTGACCGTAAGCACGGCATTTGTCGGCCATCACTTAATACCAGGAAACTCTTGGATTGCAGGCCTGTCAACACCGGCGTGGCAGGGACTGGTGGCACAGCCACTGGCGCAAGGGGTGCGCCAAGTGGCCGCACGCCAGCGCGCCACAAGGCCTGCTAGATGCTTTCGCCAAGGCTTGACATCAACCCCGGCAGGCTTGGTGGGCCAGGGGCGTCATCGCCTCCGTCGGCCTGCCCGCCAACGCTGGGAACAGCAGCGCCAGCGTATGGCACACTTTAACAGTTTAACACCAAGCACGGGTCCGGAGCGACGGTGAAGCTTTGAAAGGCTTGCGTCCTGCAGCCCTGTGGGCAAATGGCACCGGATTTTGTGCTGTGCAACATGTTTTCTTAGCATGACACCTTGGATAGATGTAAGTCTGGCTACTTGCATGTGCCCCCCATGCCGCGACTCAAGATAACCCAAAGATGACTCAAAATGACTCATGCCGCGAACGGGATGATGATGATGAGCCAACTTGCATGACCGATGGAAGCTCCCTCGTAGGGGTCAAGGTGGCTGAGGAGCGCGGGGGGCCAGGCAGTGACAAGCTCAACAAGACTCAACAAGATTTGTCTACGTACCAGTGCAATGATTAAGTTTGAGGGTTGCTTTCTATGTTCTGTTACAGGCTTTCCTTCTTTCTCCCTTCTCAGCTTGCATGATGTACGGTACCTTATCCTCGCCGTGGTCGCCAAGTCAACAACTTCGGATTTCCGTCTTGGGTGCCTTTCTCCCCTCAAATTGCCTTCCACGAACGAAAGAGCGCAACATGGCCCTGACCAAAAATTCATTGTTATCTTGCAGTTGCTATCTCAGGAGATTGGGTTAGGTTTCTGAGCCTTTTTAATGCTGATGTTTGATTTTGCAAACCTTCTCTGTACAGGACCTCGTGGCAACATTGCAGTTCTAATCTACCAATATCTAGCAATCTAGCATTCATTTCATGAGAACATCACCCCGCTTCGTTCTCTTTCAGCTGACTGGTCCGCCAATGCGGCAGCCACAAGTATAGCACCCTTAGATTCTTCTACTGCATCCATTTTCATCTCAGTCAACGGACCTCTATCTGAGTCAGAATCTATCCAAATTTATGTCTGTTACTTTACTTATCGTTACTTTAATGTTACGTCTCTGTCTGTCTTCTTCCCTCTCTGTCTCTCTTCCGTCTTCTGTTGTGTCTTTCATGTTTCTATTGCTGCGCGGTATGTGGGCTCGCTGCAACTAAATAATTAGCATTAGCAGTAGCATTTTTTTGTAAACACAACTTGGAGCTGGTTACCAGGGAATCGGCGCAATGCCAAGGGGGGATCCACGGATTCTGGCAATATCCAACTTATCCAAGCCATTCCAAGCCACTGTGCTGTTTGGGATGATCAACACATGTGATGCGCTTTGCATCGCCCGTGCGAAGGGAGTTTCCGCTGGTGGCCCATCGAGCCATGTGCTCATGTCCAAATTCTGCGGGTTTGCCAAGAGGCAGCAGTACCTTTCGCTGCAGCTGGTTCTTGCTCCAAGAGATCATGATTAATCATGATTAATCTACAGAAACAAGATGAAACAAGCCAAAAAGCATCGGAAACAATGTGGTGGAATGTGGTGGATCATGTGATCGAGTCTCGATTACACAATTAGCTAACAGGACCTGACAACGGCCAACGGTAGAGATCTTGGAACTCTGCGCCGGCGTTTGGGAAATTCTTTGCTTTCAAGATGCAAATTGTGCAGCCTGTGCATCCGCGGCCATGCACGTCTAACATGGTCCCCAAGCTCGAAAATACCTCACAAGGGGGGAACAACATATGGTTATGGCGTTATGGGTTGCCACTCAAATAGCTGGTGAATGAAAGGTTCCCCCAGTCATATGGTAATTTCATCGGGGTTCTGACCCATGCCATCCCCACCAAAATGCCATGCAAAACAGGCCTTCCGCCCAGGCGTGGGAGATGAAGATTTGGCATAGGAGGCCACTTGGATGCTTCATCAAGGCATAACTCATTCCGCCAGCTTCGCGCGTCAAGGGCTTCACGAAGCGCTCGTTGACTTCGTAGAGGTTGGGCCCTACAGTTTCGACATGTTGCGACACTTCAACGTTGGACCAGAGAAAAGGCTGGAATATGGATCAAGTCTGAGATTTCCATGGATATGATGCGAAATTTTGAAAAATGAGGTACGCGTTGACCTGCCGCCATAGTACAGCCGAGAGGACCAAGCATACCTAAAGGATCCCTTGAGGCATGAATGAATCAGGCATAATATCAGGAAGGTTCGCGAACCGAACCGCGAACCGGAACCGCGCGAACCGGAAACCGCCCAGAAACCGGCAGTTGGGAAACCGAACCGAACCGAACCGCTAATATATAAAATAAGCTCCCGAACCGGAGGAACCGGAGGCGAACCGCCGGCATGTGCTCTGTTTTTTTCTCTCAAGCAGACGTTCCCTTCAATTTCTGCCCTCGTATTGGATTTGCTTTTTTGGATTTGTTTTTCTGGAAGCCCCAAAAAAGCAAACAAGACAAATCCGCGAACCCGAATGCCCCCCTTCGTTCCCATCCGCCCTCCCCCTTCCTCCCTCCCCTCTCTTCCGCCCACCCAGACCCCATTCGGGAGCGTTCCCCAGCGGCCCTGCCATAGGGCCCTCACGCGGTCGCAGGCCGAAACAGCGAGTGAACACACCCCCGGCCCCCAGACCCCCACAGTTAAACGGGAACCCTTTGCTCCGCATTCGGGAAAAACACAACCCTTGTGCCCTCCTATTGGATTTGTTTTTTTGGCAGCTCCAAAAAAGCAAAGAAAAACTGGTGCCCTTATATTGGATTTGTTTTTTCGAAAGCCACAAAAAAGAAAAAACACAACCCTTATGCAAAGCACAAGCACAACCCTTGTGCTCTCGTGTTGGACTTGCTTTTTTGGCGGCCTAAAAAAACGAAAGCAGCCTCCATGACCAGGTCCTGGCCTGGCGTTCCTTTTCCACCTGACGCAACGTGTCCTTGACATGAATCATAACCAACCAACCAACTGGGAACATGTTTTGGCTTTTTTGAATGGCCGTAAAAAGCAAATACCAAGACCATGACTTGCTCCGAACCGGTTAGGAATCGGAAACCGAACCGAACCGAACCGTTTTTTTAAATTATATCCCCAGGAACCGAACCGAACCGGGAACCGGAAATTCACCAGTTCCTGGAAAACGAGACCGAACCGAACCGAACCGATCCCACCCTATAATATTGCATAATGGCATCAGAAAAGAAACATCTTTAGCCCAGCAACCAGTGACTTCATCGGAAAAGAACTGAGTGAATCTCCTTGTGGCTGAGGAAGAAGTGCTGTGTGAATAGCCTGAGTGGGCAGTCCCATGCCAGTCAATCTTCCATCTGCCACTTTCCCAGAGGCTTCGTATCTCTTCAACAAATGCAAAGAACTCCGCTTTGGTGATACACCACTTTTCAGGTGGCACCCGGAGGTGAAACTCCATAACTGACCAGCTTGAGCCGCCCAAGATCCCCAACCCCGAATCAACATCCGGTCGATATGAATATCGTCCGATACAAATCCTTGCTTTCATGACCATTCACGTCCCTTGAGAAGTACCCAGTATAACAATGTATAACATACATGACAAATTGACACAACACCTACTGACCTACTGATAATGGATGCTCCATTGCCATGCCCTTATCATTGCTTCCCACGTAGACTCAGCACATTCTGCATCCAACCTGGAGCACGTCAACTCAGCGCATGGATGCCTGGCAATGCTGGGATTCCACTTTAGCATTGCACCCATCCGACAGTGATGTCTGGTTATCTTTTGCTAGCTCCTTGCCTCCCCAGTTTTAAATAGGGAAATACAGTGAATATGGATTTTATCCCATTATTGGTGTATATCCCATAGTTGATGATTTGTTTTTTGCTAGGGTGATGATTGGTTGTTGACAATGTGAATGGCTATGGATGGCTATGGAATATTCCTCCCCATTTTTTCTGATTTTCACTATGGAAGTACAGTGAATATGGATTCCCACAGCTCCAAATCGCTCCTAACCAGCTCCAAATCGCAACTGCCGGGCCCACCTTTCCCGGAAGTCCGGTCGTCATCCACGATGTGTGCGGAGCTCCTGGCACCAAAGAGTCGCTGCAGCATGCTGCAGCAGGGTCATGAGGTCAATAAAAGTGGCTACTATAACATAATTCCATATAATTCTATGATATTAACATATAATAGCACAGCAAAATGTGTGTGTGTGATTTCAAAAAAACGATCTATAACATGATAACATGATCCAAAATCATAACCTTGTGGAGATGATCCAAATTTCACCCCCCCAATTCATCAAATCCACATCTTTATTTTTGATGGTTCCTTTTATCCAGCTCCTGACGAACTGCGGCTTTGGCCGGCATCCTGTCACAGGGCATCAGTGAATTGAAACAATGGCGAAATTCTACGTATATATATATATATATTACATTATTATACATGTATATCACCTATATATATATATACATATGTATATATCATGTGTATATACATGTGTAATTATATATATATATATATTTATTTATTTATATGTAATGTAGTTAAAGATAGTTAAATATGTTAGTTGTATTACAGTATGTCTATGGGCCATTGAAGATATTTCGCACCTTGAATCAACTTCACAATTGTTTGAATGGGGATCTCTGGGTGCTACAAAATGCTACAAATATCATCAAGTATCAATTCTAGTAGCAATATCCATCATTGGGCAAGGTCCAGCTGGCTCAGTCAGCAAAGGATCTGTTTGGATCTTTTTGGGAAATTGGGTCCTGAAAGGTCCTCATGCTTGAAAGATATGGGACAATAAGGGAAACATCAGTCTGCAGCTCCCACCTTCTGGTTTCTTGGCTTCAATTCCGGCGGAGTGGCTGCTGTACTGGCCAAGGCAAGCAGCAAAGCAAATGCTAGACTAGACTGCCATATACAGAACTCAGCTGGCTTTCTCATGCCAGCATGTTAATTATATCAGATTATATCAGCTATCTGTCATTGCTCTGATGGAGAATTCCGTATGTCTTGACAAGACTGCCACTATCTGCTAGAGTTGGCTGCAAGAGTTCGGTGCATTCGATGAGTTTCCATGGGTTCAGTTTCCACATGGGACCGTACCTGAAAATGCACACAATGTGGTCACATAGTGTGAGTGACCCCCAGGAACATATCATTTTCCTATTGGTGGTAGCACACAGCACACATGAAATGTGTGATCTGATGACCACTCGGGCAGGTTGAGCAAGCCCGACCTCAACGACATTTTGCTGAGCAGTCCCCACTCTTCCTGGACGTTTTGAGCGGTGCGTCGGCAAGTTCAACGAGTATCATTGCGCAAGCTGCGGTTCGTGTAGAAGAATATCCGTAGAGAGCCCTCCACATAGATCTTTGACAAACAACCCACCGATAATCAGTTGTGTTGATACATCTCTATATATGATATGTATACACTATATATCTCTATAATATATATATAATATATATTACATACATACTTTATAATATATATATATATATTATATGACATGCCGTTGAGTTATACACCATGGATCCACCTCTGCAGGCCGATCTCTTCCGGCACAGTGGCAGCCAACCATCCTTGGCGGCCGTTTGGTCCAGGTCATGGTGTGATCAAATTATATATATATATATATTGGAACTAGTCTATACTGAGATATATCATATTATATTACGGTTCTGTGGATATATATATATATATATATACATATTTGTGTGCGTGTGTGTTTCTTTATGGGAAAAAATGCAGGGAAATCTGAGGAAACTCATGGAAACCACCACATTCAACTCGTAAAAACCGGTAAAACATTGTAAAACATGGTAAAACCATACTAGTATTAGCTAGGACCTGCTAGGATCTCTAGGTTTCCCTTGAAGTCAATGATATCATCGTACCATCGTCGTATCATCCGAGGCGCCCAGAAAGGAGCCCGTTGATCCGGCTCCTTAGGTCCGCCAGGGCAGAAGTCTTTCAAAGCTGAGTGTAGCTTTAAGCAGCTAACCACTCCCAAGCAGCATATACACTGTGCACACAGTGCACACATGTTTTTTCCAGGCACATACGCACTAGCTGGTGGCAAAGCATCTTAATGCTGATGAGTCTTTGCATCAGCTCAATTTCGCTGCCCTAAGTCAGCAAACTGGCTCACTGGATCTTGTCAGCCAAACCCCGAAGACTCGAAACGGTGAGGTCTGGTTCTGAATCCTTGGTACAGCGCTGAACTTTAGGACAAACAACAACATGAAATTGAAATTAGATGAAATTAGATCAAACATAAAATATCATATCAGTCTCACTCATCCACCCCAGCGTTACTGCCACGGTACAGCTTCAGCTTGCCTTGCCGCAAGCTTCTCGGCAGATGTCAAGCTAAAGCGATTCTCCACACGTTCAGGGCGGTCCACGTAAACGGTCCTTCAAGAGGTTACTGACTTTCACGGGGCCCTGAACCCTATCATCCGAACCCCATCATCCCAATCAACTGCCAGCAACCCGCGGTTGTGGACATACTCTTGGGTGAATTCGTTTTTTTCTATCTATTTTTTCGATAGGCATGTCAGATCATGTCAGCCTTTGGGTTGGTGAACCACTATTTAACAACAAGGAAAATAGTGGTTAACTCTGTGAGAAGGGGAAATGTGAGGACCTGTGTTCAAGGAAATGTTGGTCTGTGACTTCCTATGGCTGCGCATGGTGAGCTGATAGGTCTTTGTATGTCTTTGTCTTGGCCCACTTGCACCTAGCAGCGCAAAAAGTTCAGAGGTCGTCTTCATCTTCCTGTACTTGGATATTCAATTAATGAGACCAATGGACAGCATGGGCAGCATAACCCATCCCCACAACCCATGCAACATTTTTGCACCATGACAACACCCATGGATTCCACTAGTGGGATCAACCCTCATGGCCCATAATGACGACGTCCTGAGTCCTAGCCGTGATGCAGCTGCCACATCAATGGCCAAGTCGTCACCCACGTGCCACCAACTGAGACATGGCCATGGCTACAGGCTGGGAATGAGGGGAATCCAAGTCCAGTGGAATCCATGTCTTCTCTGATTCTGCTGAATTCATGATCTAGCAGTCTAAGTCTACCATTTCTGAGATGATGATGTATTTGGATGTATGGAAATCTTGTGTGCCGAGACGTGCCAAGCAAATTCTAAGCTTCAAGCGCACCATCAGTCCACCCCAAATTGCGAGCACGCACGAATGCTTCTTCGAAAATCACTGGTGATGGCTTGCGGTGAGGAAAAATTGTCTCCTTCGGCTACGGCGGATCAGCAGCGGTCCCCTTTTGCAGTGTACCTTGTTCAACACGTAATCCATCTTCCTTTTTAATATTATATATATATAGTTCCCCACATTGACGTGTGGGGTTTTTGTTTTTAGTTCTGTATCCGCTCCTCGTCCTCCTCCTTCCCGTCCTCCCTCCTCACACACACACACTCACTCACTCTCACTCACTCACACACACACACTGCTTAGGTTGATTTGATGATGATGAGAGTAGAACTTGCCGTCGCCTGATTTCCTAAGTCACCTTCGATGGGGCACGGTTGCAAACGGTGAAATTCGGGCAATCGATTCTTGCCAAAGGACTCAAAAACAAGGTAATAGAACAGCTTGTGCAAAAGTTCGAACCAACATTGCAGGTACGTCAACCCAGCGTCCCAGGTTGATATCACTGTGACATCAGAAGCGTCTTCGTTGGCTGGAGACTTCTGATTCACACTCCAGCCCCCTGCATGTCTGAATTAAAATTCAGTTCTTATTGTCGCCACATATTGTCTTCCTTGCTTCGTTGTACGAAATTGTAAAATATCCGTATGTTATAACGGGTTTCACACACACACAAGCCCCGTAGGGCGATGACGAAATTACATGAGTAGTTGAAATGGCAAGCTCACACTGTCGCTCAAGTGACAGAATGGCAGTCCTGAAACTTCACAAGACACTAATGGAGGAGCGAAAAACTCTGTGTGAAATGCGGTACTTCATGAGACTAAGCCGCCAACCATTGTTTGTGGTGAATTCAGTTCAGTGAGCGAAAGCACGTGAAGTCCGGGCTGATAACTCTCGTCAGGTTGTTATGTCGAATACTCTTATAAAGAAATTAATTAGTTAAAATGACAGACGCACATTGTCACTCAAATAACAGAATCGCTGTCCTGAAATGTTACGAGACACTAACAGAGGAGTGAAAACGCTGTCTGGATTTCGGTATTCCATAAGACTAGGCCGCCGACCATTGATCGTGGTGGATTCAATTCAGTGAACGAAAGCGTCCGAGGTCCGGGCTGATAACTCTGGTCAGGTGATTATGTCGAATATTTTTGTCGAAAAATCTTCTGTGTCAAAAATCTTGAGGCATTTAGAACGCTGAAACCTAAAGCATGATTGGGGGTAACTGAGGTCCCGACACCACTCAGAGCACTATACAATCGACGTCTAACATGGAGAAATTGTGACAGCTGTTGTGGACAAGGGCAAAAGAGATCAATTCATGTTAGTAGAACCAGTGTAGAGTAGAGGTAAATCCGATGGTCTGTAAATGGCGACAGACTTGAACCCAACATTGAAAGGTTTGAACTGATGCAGCCATGAATAAGTTACTACACACAAATCACATTCTCATGCGTATCTCTATTTGGCAAAAACAACAGAGTGCGACAAGTTAAGAATGATTGAGTAAGCTGTTCACTCCTTTTTGTTAAGCGAATCTGAAAACATCACGCGCTTGTAAATGTGGATGGACTTGGTGGATAACAGTCATTATGGTCTTGCGTGCGGAATCTGTGGTCACAAGAGCAGAGTCTCGAGATGATATCAGTCCAATGAGATCTTGAATTTGAGGTAGATGAAGATGTTGTGGATACACGCCCGTGAGAATGAGTCGAATACGAGCAATAAGACCACTGAGGGCGGTACGTGAGACACCACAGCCAGAGCTGTGTCTCAAGGGTTTGTTCCATGGTAACTGCAAAGTAATGGTATGTTGTAGGCAATCAATTTTGTATCCCAGGGCTTCATCACCAGGTACTGGTTCCAAAAGGATGGGATTTGTATAGAAATCCAGTCTCCAAAATAGGTCAAAGTCCAGGCTGGCGCGATCGATGTCTGTTGCTAGAATCAAGCGGTTGTCGACATACCGATGATGAAAATTCATGTTTGTGCGAAAGACCTGAAAATAGGAATGAAAAATCCATTCTCTGAGTAATGCAACTGCTGAACAGAAAATGGGTGCCCATTGGGAACCCATACTTGCACCACGACGCTGTTGGAATACTGTGCCTCCAATACTGAAATAACTATGATTCAAAAGGTATTGGCTGAGCGGTTGTATATGGGCAAGACAAATTGGTCGGTATTTGTGGCTATGTGACCGCCAAAATCCACGAAAAATTCGTAAAGTGCGTTCCGTAGTCTCTTGATGAATGTTGAGAAAAGAGTCAAATGTTTGTCCTTGAAGTTCACAAAACCGACACACAGCAAATTGAACAGCCTGTAACATACGAGAATGATCAACTTGATTGTAAAACCCAGCAATGTCTTCTTGTTCCACAGTGAGTTCACCATAAGCGTAGTCTTGGTGGGAAAACAACTTGGCAATTGCATGTAGCACCGACTTGATATCCGTAACAGATAGGAGATCAGAATATACAACTTGCAAAATTTCATATAACGCTGTTGCTAGTGCACTTCCAATTGGTCGACACCATGCTCGAGAATAATCCACAATTGGTCTTGCTTTTTGAAATAACCTGGATGGTTTTGGGAGAATGTATGCGGTGCTGAGAGTGGATCCAAATTTGAAGCCCCATTTGTAGTGTTGCATAATCCAGTCAGGGATATTTTGTTGAATGTGCTTCAATAACGGAATAGGATACGCTTGGCAGCGAAGAAATACCGAAGTATCCAGGAACGTTCGGTTCATCAAATATTGCCACTGAGCAGGACAGTGTAATGTCAAAGAATGCGGAAAATGATCTGAGGGCGAGACTACAAAAGAACGTAAGCGATGTTGAAGTCGCTGAATCTGTTTCTGGGTCTGTCCGAGAGAATTCTGTTTATAGATCTTCCACGGTGTCAGGATGAAAGCTTGCCAATATTGGATCAATGAATGTGATAGCTTCCATCGATGCAGCCACTGTTCGAATTGATACGTGTTATGGTGAAAGAAGTGTCTCCATGATGGTGAAATCTCTTCAGCCATATGTTGATGGAGAAATGCTTCATCAGGAAAGCATTCTTGTGCAAAAACAGAAATATGTTCGGTTTTTCGTTCACGTTGTCGAATATGCAAAGGAAAGAGGTGGCATGTACACAAAGGTTGCTGTTCAGGTGTCCACCATTTCAACACTTTTCGAAACTTGAAAAATGTTTGTCCCAACGTCCGATTCTTAATGCGCTCAAATGGTGCCCGTACTTTGTGAAACGGAGGGAAATTGATGGAATGATGAAAAGTGAAATTCAGAAGCCACTGTTTTATCGCATCGTTCATGTCGTCAGATAGAACTTGAAGTCGCATAGGCACATTGGGTGGCGGAGATTCCGTTCCCTTAAATCTGAGGATCAAACGAAGTTGTGATTGACAGCGTGTACGAAAAGGTTCTCCCAATTGATGGGAAAGTCTCCAAAGCAAGAAAAGATATTGTATGTCTGTTTGTGATGAACGCAGTAATTTGGAAACATGAAACTTTTCGATGGTGTCAGAGCCTAAACGAGTGAGTAATGTGTAGATTCGATCCGCAGAATGAAATCTGAGGCCCAAAACGCACCGCTGATTTGTAGCCGTTCGCTTCAAATATCGACGACAAAACTTTCGAGTCTTTTCAAGAAAGGGTTTGGAGACTGAGGGCCCGAACCGCTGCTTCCCAATATGGAACTTCTGTAAGAAAGGCTTGATCCATGGCCAATTGTATTTAGGCCGGTACGTCGTCTGAAATGCCGTTTCCATGGCATACAATTTGTCAAGGTTTTGCTGTTGTAAAGGAAAACAGCCAAACCTGTAGAAATTGTTCAGGTGGAACCAAACTTTTAGGGCAGGCTCGAAATACGCAAGTTGTTGGTTACCAAGTTGACGAAATTTCCGCATACGGCTCTGTTCTTGGTCAAAAACAGAATGTTCTGTGGCTCCAATGTAAAAATCAGCATCCCAGAGATCCAAACGCATGTAAATAACTGATGTTTGTGTCCACCATGTCCATGAGAATTTAAACGGAAGTCGTGCATGTTGAAGGATAGTCATCAGTCGTCGTCGCTTGTTTGTCCATGAATTCAAACATACTCCAAAAACTGTCCATTGACTAAGAGACCATAACAACATCCGTTGAAGTCGCCAAGTCAGTTGTGGAGTATATTGCAAAAGACATGCAACAAAAAAGATGAAGGATTGAGCAATCTCCCGAAATTGTGCGATCTTACGTCGTGCCTTTCGGGTGTGTGCTTGGTCAAAAGGTTTTATCAAGCCACCGTTAGTAGGTGGGCTTACTTGATCTGTAGCAAATTCAAATTGTCAGTTTCGCAGCAGCTGAACTGCTGCCAACAATCTGATGTGAGCATCAACATTGCATTTCGACAAAAAGGAAGAGGAGAGGCCCCAATCGCTTAAAATTGGTTCCAGGTTGGGTTGATTCGCCTGATCGAATTGTTTCAAATGGTTTTGAAGAGTTTCAACACACTTGTTCAATTCTCCCTGACGTTCCTTGGGAACGTTCTTCTTCACCCAATCACGGACTTTTGCCTCAGTTCCTGTTTGAGGTGCCTGGATTGCATAGAAGGCTTGGGCGTCTTTGCGACGATAGGACATCAAAGGGTCTGCAGGACTGGATGGGCCTCCTGGTGTACTACTGTTGGGGAAAAACGCATTGATTTGGGGTTGGCCTGTTGGGGGCCGCTGCGTCTGTTGGGATGGTGGATTACCACTATCTGGAGCTTGGGATGCTTTCAATGCAGCATTCTCAGCCTTGAGTTTCTCTAGTTCTTCTAGTATGGCTTGCTGTGAATCTTGAGGACAGAGAGTGCGAAAATGATCTAATGTTGACTGGACCAATCCCTTGATACTTGTCAACTTCGTGTCCCATTCTTGCGGATCTTGACCCTGGGGTGTGAAAGCTCCCAACAGTCGATGGAAGTCCAAGGTGTCCTTCTGCTTTGACATTTCTCGAAAAAGTGTAGTGGCAAAAGTAGCTTCCAGTCGATTGCGAAAGAATTCGCATGAAACAAATCTACCGTTGGCCACGAGTCGAAGGCCCCAATTGCTGATTCC